AAAAAAAAAAAAACTCATTTAGAGTGTCGATAGGAGATAAATGACCGTGAGGATGACCTTAGGTGTCAAAATTTATAAATTATTTTTATAAAAGTAAATAAAATACAAAGTTTTATTATTTTTTCTACACCATAAAATTTTATGCCATACTTATAATTATACAAATTATATATCTAAACAAACAACATCAATTTTACAATATTATTTAATCAAAATTACATTTTATTAATTTCCTAAAAAATGTAGAAAAATTCAAGAAAACTTCGAAAAAAAAAAAAACTCACTGAGGGCATAGATCGGAGATGAATGATGGTGAGAATGACCTTAGATTGCAAGATCCTGGTTGAAAGTGTTGGATTTCAAGAAAAAAAAAAGGTGAAAATGCTGAAGAATAAATAAATAAATAAAGGGACTGATTTCCGGCATCTAACCTGCTAGAAAATCACCCTTAGCTTTGTAGACAGCAAGTAGATGATGTAGAAAGAAACAGGTGCAGAAAATGGCGAAAGAAGGGAGGAAAATGAGAAACTGAAATGGGAAATAGGTGAAGGAACGGGGAAGAAGAGAAGTCTGCAGATTCCTTGTAGACTGCCCTTTGACCCAACTCATCTAAAAACAGATGCACGTTGGGCCAGAATTTTCAGACCATTAATGGTCTGGAAAATGCAAATAAGTGTCAAAAGTCCAGACCAAAATTAGTCTAGAAAAAGGGGATAGAGGCTGCCAATTTTTTGAAAATAATTCAAACCAAAGTTGGTCTAGAAAAAGGGCCAAACGCTGACCCAACTTCATCTCAAAACAGATGCACGTTGGGCCAGAATTTTCAGCCCATTTGTCATGCCCCAGAACCCAAATCCGAGGATGTGACAAACACCATACACTTGTGAGAAGGTCCCACAAATGCACAAGACTCGAAACTTATCCAATTCACATCTGACAATCCAATAACTTAAACCATATATTTCAAAATAATTCTATGTCCAATATGACTTAAACTCAAAATCTCAAGGTCAAATCTCTTGTAAACTAATAATTCATTAAAAGAATTTATAAAATCTCCAATTAAAATCTAACTTACAATATCATAATCTATATCTAAAATCTATATCAAATTTACAGAATGGCTAGCCTTTTAACGCGTCACTCCCCTCGTTTTTCCCCGTCCTTGACTTCATTTCCTGAAATGGTGGACAAGGAAAAACTATGAGATAAACTCAGTAAGTAAATATGGATAGCCCTTAATTAAACTTATAGCATGCCAACAAGTATAATCACGAAAAGCAGATACGGTACGGAAATGAAATAGACGTCTCCTTTATAGGTCACGGCCAGTGTTATAAACCTCCCACTGGCAGGCACACTATTTGCTGGTGTATAACCCCCACTAGCAGGGTCACTCGAACAAACCGATTCTATCAATAACATGTCGACATGTGCTAGCGTTTATAAACCTCCCACTAGCGGGCACACGAATAACATGATCATATCAGAGACAAAACAGGCAGAAGTTAACAGGAAAATCATAATTCACAAATAATTTCTAGATCATCGGGACAGTTAAGTAAACTCCAAGAAGGCATGCTCAAATCAATAAAAAGAATAATAATTTCATTTCAAATCGATTATACTTGTGTAAAACGGATTTAGTCCCACCACCACTTCAAAAACAAGCTAAAATGTGTTTTAAAATCAGAGCGCGTTACCATAATTTACTTATCTCAAATCCAAAACTCAAGCCAAGTACTCGAGTGACAGAACACTCAATAACCTAATCAAAAAACCCCAAAATTAATACCGTACTATCACAAATTCAAAGTGAGAACTTCATTAGGATCACCCCTAATCACGATGCTATTTTTATTAGTCTCCATATGATCGGACATCTCTAAATTTGTTCTTATATTACAACTAAACATTTAATCCTCGTTAATTTGTGGTCATTAGTGCGTGAACAGTACCCATGAACAGTAATCACGCAATGAACAGTAGGTGCAACTTCCAAAAATTGGCAAAACCATAACTAATCTCACGGAATTTCTCTCCAAAATCTCACAGCATTCAATTAACACTCAATCACATAAATTTCACTTGAATTAATGCTTAATTTTGTCCTAAAGCTACCGGAATTCATCCCCCTAATTCAACAAAATTCGGACAACACATGGGGCAGTAATTCATGGACTAAATTTAGCAACTAATGAATAATTTTAGGCTTAAAAGGGCTGTCACATACCAGAATTTAGTAGCAAAAACCGGAGCTGCAAGCTAGGGGAAGCCGGCGGCAGTGTAGGGGAAAATCTACCGAAATTGGAGAACCAAAAGCACAAATTAGAGTAAACCCAACATAAATCAAGGCTGAAGAGAGGAAATTCATGGCTGATTTTTACCAAAAAAACCAAAAATCACACCCACACAACAAGAGTAGCTCGACGGAAGGAAGGAAGGAACAGAGCAGATCCGGGATTTTCTCTGCAGGGGGAAGAATTCTGGGTTCAATTTCAATCTTAGAACAAGAAAAGAAAGGCAAAACACCAAGCTCTCTTACCAGTTTTTCTTCAAGGGAGGGCTGTCGGTGGTGGTTGGGTTTTGTTCGGTGCAGGGGAGGAAAAAGAAGAAGAGCAAAATCGGGCTAAAGAAGAAAGAAAGAAGGAAAAAAATAGTTGATCCTTATCCAAATTTTCCTTTTTAAGTCCCTGAACTTTGAAATTTCAATTATTAAGCCCCAAA